CAGTGTTGTAGGGGGGAAAAAATATTAAAATTGCAAAGCCGTAATTATTTTTCGACAATTCTCTTCTGCCGTTTTTGCAAGTCAAACATGATTGAAGATAGCTTTGTGCCTGCCGCCTTCATGGGGATCCGCAAACAAACAAGCTTCTGTCTGTCCAAAAGTGCGTGGTCCTCAAAGGTCTGGTGTAGCTGCAGGATGTCATTCTATCCAAGGAGGACCTCATCAGACTCTACCCCCTTTCCTCAAGTGACAACAATTCAATTCAATGTGTTCTTGTATCGACCTAAATCACAACAGTAGTTATCTCAGAGGATTTAGATAGATAGATACTTTATTGATCCACGTAGGAGAAATTCAGGTGTCTGGTAGCAGCAAAAACACAGCAAAAAAATGTATCATTCTAAAAAGCTGACAATAGTAATAATAAGCAACAGCACTTTAGGTCACAGCAGCAGAGGTGGAGAAGCCTCTTGGTTCGAACCATTTTCTCTGCTGTAGTCCAAAGTAAAATGCTGAATGCTTCAAAAAGTTAGCATTCCTCCAGTGGATTTTTGCCTGATCCACTTGGTTCGGACCATGAATCCTCTCTGCTCTGGTCTGGACCTGTCTAAAACCATGAACACTTTACTGCAGCAACATCTCAGGTAGAAAAAAGCGAGAAAAATGACAATTGTGAAACGCAAAACAACAACTGTTTCAGAGCGACTTAGGACTTGCTGCCGTTTCCAGCGCATTCAAAACAAAACCGTTGAGTTCCCGGACACAGATCAGAGAAAAAAAACCGTTCAAACACAAGAAGTTTAAAGGAACAATATGTAAAAATCTGGCCAAAAGTGGTACTGCAGTCACAGTCAATATTTTGTAGTCCTCTCCCACTCTCCCTGATTCAGGTTGCCAGATTCACACCAAATCCAGCAGCAAACACAGGGAATTATTTTATCAGTTGTTTGTCCGTCTCCATTCACATTGCCATGACAGCCGTGCTAATGCTGAATGAATGTTTTGATTCATGTTTTTTTATTATTATTATTTGGACATTTGAGATAAAAAACAAAAACAAAATACAAGCAATGTAATTATACATAGTTTATGCAAAATAAATAAGCAATTGATGTCCAAAATAGGAGTGGGAAGAATGGATGTTGGAACGTATTTCTTCAGCGTATCAACATCAGGGTTTGCTCAAGAGGATATCACCTTTCAATTTTATTTATTCCCTATTTTTTAGACAAACATGTAAAAGTCCCACATGAAAAAGAGACATTATTTTAATTGGGGTACATGTGGTCTTAAATGATTATTTTTACAATTAAGCTATAATCTGCAAAAAAACGTCTTGACCTTCATCTTTTACCGTTTTTAGAGCAATCTGTCATAGAATGTGATAACATGCAATAAATACAAAAAGACATAGCCCAGAATCGAACCCGGTTTCCTAAATCGTAAGCGCACAGTTTAGACCACTAGACCACCGATTCACACGAATGAGATACTGTGAAGAACGGACTCAAACTAGAAAATTCTGCATCACACGTGAACTTTTATCAGCTGTCTCAATTGTTCAAAGGCATCCCGATATAAATCCTCGTTTTAGTCTTTGTTTTGTCATTAATGATTTGAGAGTCATAACAAGACCTTTTTTAGTTCTGCGCCACATGTTATTTTACCACTGAGATTAGTGAGCCGCGCGGAGTTCTGGCAACCCGATCACGGACTTACATGACACTTCCTGAATGGCGAAACGGCGGAGGGTAGGACATCAAAATCAAAACAATAACAACTTTTACGGGTCGTAAAACTAATTTTGATAATCAAATATCTCGGCTGAACTGCTGTTATCAGTTAAAGATGAATTCGAAAAGAGTATGATTTAATAACGCCTTTTGAAATATTCGGGTCATTTAATGATGACTTGACATGCAAATATTACATATTGCTCCTTTAATGATAAAAAACACAATGGTCCATAAGATGACTAATGTCCATAAATGTTGAGTCCAAATGTTCAGTCCCTTCCTCAAGCAAGTCCAGTCTGAACCTGAAGACCTGTGGGCATGGATGGAGTTTGGTGTGCTCCTGCTTGGTTGCCATGAAGTCTTGCAGCCACACTTGCCCTGTGAGGACTGGTTTGACAGCCTCAGACGCTCCTGGTTGGACATATTCCCAGTATGTCAGGGTGAAACTCCGGCCCCCTGCAGTCTGAACTCTGAACAGTGGGGTAACAATGGTAGACAAACACGGCCTCGTCACCGGTCTCAGCTGTCATTGTCGAGAAGGAAACTATGTGATAATCTTGACAAACACTTAATTCTGAAGTGTCCCGTCACAGCTGCAGTCTGTGAGTCATAAAGAGACAGAAACCTCTTACTCTGTGACATCACAATACCGTGTCAGGCAGCTCCACAGGTCACACTGCGGCAACAACTACACTACACCATTCAGAATATTTAACTTTATATTTATATTGAAGCAGCTGTGTCTGACTTTGTTTCATTAGTAATACATGATGTTTGTCTGTGGCCATATCTGCATGTGAAAGCCAGATCCTAGCAGACCTCTGAAGCTTAGCAGCGCAGGGCCTGGTTAGTACTGCGATGGGAGACCTCTGAGCCATGTGCCACAGTAGGGCGTCTGCGGTTGTGAAGTGCCGAACTGTCTTTGTGCCCTTAGGCAAGACACTTCACCCACATTGCCTAGAATGTGTGTGAATGGTTGGTGGTGGTCTGAGGAACTGATGGCACAGACTGGTTGCCTCGCTTCTGTCAGTGTGCCCCAGGGCAGCTGTGGCAGTAGTATTGAGTGAAAGAATAATGACATGTGAAGCGTCTTTGAGTGTCCATAAAAGTTGCTGTCCGCTTCGCCCTGAAGGTGCATCCGATTAACATTTAAATGTGTTGATTGACTGGTATTTGCGTTTATTGACGGTGGCTAGCTCCGGAGTGGCCGGAACTACTTGCAGAGTTATCCACACATCTGAATTACAAGCAGAGGGTGCGTTGCCAAAGGGCAGCGGTCATTATTGATTTTTTGATTTTTTGAGAATTACAGTGCCTTGCGAAAGTATTCGGCCCCCTAGAACCTTTCAACATTTCGCCACATTTCAGGCTTCAAACATAAAGATATAAAATTTAAATTTTTGTCATGAATCAACAAGTGGGACACAATCGTGAAGTGGAACAAAATTTATTGGATAATTTTAACTTTTTTAACAAATAAAAAACTGAAAAGTGGGGCGTGCAATATTATTCGGCCCCTTTACTTTCAGTGCAGCAAACTCACTCCAGAAGTTCAGTGAGGATCTTTGAATGATCCAATGTTCTCCTAAATGACTGATGATGATAAATAGAATGCACCTGTGTGTAATCAAGTCTCCGTATAAATGCACCTGCTCTTTGATAGTCTCAGGGTTCTGTTTAAAGCGCAGAGAGAACCATGAAGACAAAGAAACACACCAGGCAGGTCCGAGATACTGTTGTGGAGAAGTTTAAAGCCGGATTTGGATACAAAAAGATTTCCCAAGCTTTAAACATCTCAAGGAGCACTGTGCAAGCAATTATATTGAAATGGAAGGAGTATCAGACCACTGCAAATCTACCAAGATCCGGCCGTCCCTCTTTCATCTTTCATCAAAACTTTCATCTCAAACAAGGAGAAGATTGATCAGAGATGCAGCCAAGAGGCCCATGATCACTCTGGATGAACTGCAGATAACTACAGCTGAGGCGGGGATGGTGTGTTCAGGGTGATGAGCTGTGTTGCTTTTACGCCAAGCATATCGTTTTGCATTGTGGCCAAAAAGTTTGATTTTGGTTTCATCTGACCAGAGCACCTTCTTCCACATGTTTGGTGTGTCTCCCAGGTGGCTTGTGGCAAACTTTAAGAGACTTTTTATGGATATCTTTGAGAAATGGCCACTCTTCCATAAAGGCCAGATTTGTGCAGTGCTCGACTGATTGTTGTCCTATGGACAGACTCTCCCACCTCAGCTGTAGTTATCTGCAGTTCATCCAGAGTGATCATGGGCCTCTTGGCTGCATCTCTGATCAGTCTTCTCCTTGTTTGAGATGAAAGTTTGGAGGGACGGCCGGGTCTTGGTAGATTTGCAGTGGTCTGATACTCCTTCCATTTCAATATAATTGCTTGCACAGTGCTCCTTGAGATGTTTAAAGCTTGGGAAATCTTTTTGTATCCGAATCCGGCTTCAAACTTCTCCACAACAGTATCTCGGACCTGCCTGGTGTGTTCCTTTGTCTTCATGGTTCTCTCTGTGCTTTAAACAGAACCCTGAGACTATCAAAGAGCAGGTGCATTTATACGGAGACTTGATTACACACAGGTGCATTCTATTTATCATCATCCGTCATTTAGGACAACATTGAATCATTCAAAGATCCTCACTGAACTTCTGGACTGAGTTTGCTGCACTGAAAGTAAAGGGGCTGAATAATATTGCACGCCCCACTTTTCAGTTTTTTTATTTGTTAAAAAAGTTAAAATCATCCAATAAATTTCGTTCCACTTCACGATTGTGTCCCACTTGTTTTTGATTCATGACAAAAAATTAAAATTTTATATCTTTATGTTTGAAGACTGAAATGTGGCGAAATGTTGAAAGGTTCAAGGGGGCCGAATACTTTCGCAAGGCACTGTACATTCAAATCAATGGAGCGTTCTACTGCTGCTGTGAGGAGCCGTATAATAATTTGTTTTAAAAGGCAGAAACATACTTAGTGTGATGTCATAGTGGTGCAATGACATCATACTATAACAGGACTTTTTATGCAGTTTTTAGATGGAGCTGCAGGTTTGTGCCAGAAGTCCCTGATATTATCGTGGACGGATCTAAAAACAACTCCAGGTCTGTTTTTGAGGATGAACAATGTTGCGACATGGTTAAAAGCTCAAAGCTCATAATATGTCTCCTTTAAACGGTGAGAGACAGACGTTTCCACCATAGCATTAACCAAAGCGTTCACACATGTCCCGCACATTCCCACACGCTAAGCTAAGCCCTGTGCACAGAACACTCTCCTCACAGAACAGCCCTCCTCTCGCATTCCAGACCGTGCCGTGCCGAGCCGCCAGCCTCCCAGGGCCGTCTCAGCAGCGGGTCGACTTCACACATGCACCAGGAGCATATGATCAAAGTGCGTGCACACCGGCCAAACAAAGTGCTTCCATGTTCACGCACACATGTCAGAGCACGCAGGGAATCACGCTAATCTGCCTTTTATTAGCATCCGCGGCTCCCGGAGCAGGACGCGGCTCACATGCGACAGGATCACGGCGGCGCAGGCTATGGTACCATGGCACGGATCATGACGCAAGCACGGACCATGGCGCACGCACGGACCATGGAAGGACACAGAGGAAGTGTCATCTGCTGCAGGCTCACAGCAGCAGGAAAATAATATCAAGGCATTGAAACGAATACAGGGGTCATGCTGTGTGTTCTGGATTTTGACAGCTCATGTTTCAAAAGTGAAAATAATGTGGAAGGAAAACTGAATGTTCTGTAGATTGGAAAAACATTCTGGCTTCCTTTCTACCTGTATGTGTAAGGCTGGTCCTCATTCAGTTTAGTTTAGTTTAGTTTTTTACATGTCAGATCTTAAAAGCTGAGCAGGGGCTGGTATTAAGCAACATCTCATCAACTGGTAGAAGTCAGAAATGACATTTAGATCTAACTTTAACATGGTGGGGTCAAATTCAAAGCCTGCCGTAGATAATCTGTATTTATATATCACATTTCCATTGCACACCCGTCTTTACATTACAGTATTGTATTTTTGTAGTTATAGGGGAAACTGGAGCCCCTGGAGGAAACCTACGCAGACACAGTGAGAACATGCAGTGGACTCCGACCACCACCGACCATTCTAGGCAATGTGGGTGAAGTGTCTTGCCTAAGGACACAGTGGCACTTTGCAGCCGCAGCTGCCCCACTGTGGTACCTGGTGTCTCCCATCACAGTAATAACCAGGCCCTGTCCTGCTTAGCTTCAAAAGTCTGACAGGTTGTGGCTCTCACATACAGGTATGACCATGTAAGATGAATGGGAAATTTCAGTGTTGCATCACCAGTCACAGACCAGTAGGAATGAGAAGCACACAACACAAGATAAATGAACAATGAATCTATCCTAAATTAAAACAAAATCTCAAACTTTAGCGTATTATAGAAGCAAGTATAAAATCTCCAATTTCTCCATTGTGAGATAGAACAAGAAGTTTATCTAGTAAATCATTGTTTTTTTTTATTGTACATAATAATATCCGGCACAGACTATATTTTTAACCTTTAACATGTTGCGCACAATCTGAGTGTGTCTTTCTGTGCCAAATGTCACCTGTAAATGTCTCCAGTGTGAGATCAATAAAGTCGGTCTTATCCTATCTTTATCATAAAAAAGAATCAAGTCTAAAATGTCCAACTTTAACATAATGAAGAAGCAAGTCTAAAATCTCCAACATGGACAGACCGAGGTAAAAGCAGCCCCTCACATATGAAAGTTGCGTCATACCTCTTCAATATATGACTCCACGTTAACAAACTTAAGTCCATAGATGCCGACATAACTTGTACAATCAAAACTTTATTACTTGCAAATCTGGGTACAAGGCCAGTCACGGTTCCACACGGGCACACAGTAAGACTCCTGAATGAAGCAGAGCCAGTATAGATATAGTCTGACTCTGGGTGGCATACTTGGCACAGTCTTTCACACCTGCTCACTGCAACAGCATTCCCATTGGCACGAGCTCCGAATCCTCTGCATAGTGGCACATACACACACACACACACACACACACACACACACACACACACACACACACACACTGAGACACAGAATACATTATTCCGGGGATCATGCGAGCGCAGAGTTCACCCGCAGGCCGTGTTATCCGATACCAGGCTGCAGCAGTTGGCCCGACAAATTGTGATTCAAAGTCAATGCAAAGAGTTTTCATGTGGTCGCGCGGGACAGCAGTTGGATTACAGGGTTGTAAATGGTTATAGTTTGACGTGAGGACTTGACAATGTGATGTGCAGGATGTTAAGCAGCTGAATTAGTTCAACGTTTGAGGCCCAGGAGAGGAGCTCAGGGTTTAAATACACACAAGGACACAGTTTAGGGCGGGACAGGCAATCAACCTCAACAGACATGAAGTAACACAAGAGCCAACGTCAAAGTAAAACCAGGAAAAGTCATTAAATGTCCACACCATGACAAAAATGAATGTATTTTTTAAATTGGTATCAATTTTTGTTCAGTATTTGATGATGATTTTACAATGATTTTATATTTAAAGTAGCAACATGTAAGATTTTCATATCTTTTGTCTATCCATCCATCCATTTTCTTCCCCTTAATCCATTTCTGGGTCGGGGGGGTGGCAGTCAGAGCTGCACCCAGTACACAGAGCACCAGCCTCTCCCTGATCCTCCTGCAGGTGGTGAGTTCACAGGAGCTGAGATCTTTCAGTGGGGGCTTCAGGCAAAGTGGGTTAAGTGTCTTGCCCAAGGACACAACAACAGCAGACATCAGTGGGAGTCGTGAAGTAGGTCTTACAGTGGGCTCAAACCCACAACCTTCAGGCCCAAAGGCCAATGCTCTACAACTGAGCTACTGTCGCCCTCGCCCTGCTCTGCATTGTTTTATCAATCAGAAAGTCTGTGATCCGGGTTGCCAGAACTCACCATGTTGAGCTAATCTCACTGGTAAAGTACCATGTGGCTGCAAAACTAAAAAAGGTCTCGTTATGATTCTCAAATCATTAACGACAGAACAAGGAATATCTCAAATCATTAACAACAGAACAAGGAATAAAAACAGGATTTCTATCTTTGTGAAAAAGGTGTTGGTTATAGATTTGTTGTTGACAAAACTCTCGTCTATTCAGCTGTTACGGTCCCAGCTGGATTCGTCTGCAAATCTGGCAACCTGAGTCAGGGAGAGTGGGAGAGGCTGCAGTACCACTTTTGGTCACATTTTTACATACAGCTTTAAGTTTAAATTTACTAAAATAATCAACTTTTTAATGCGATTCCTTGAGTGAGACTTTAGAAAACGTATTCTGAAAGTTGTACGTTTGTTTTTTGACCATTTCACTTCAACGTGTTCTAGTCTTCCCTGTGGTGAAAAGTCGACGCTAATCCAATCAACACGCCAACTTTTCTCATCGTTGTCCCGGCTCAACACAAATCATCAAAACACTGTACGGCTCATTCTGAAGACACACCGCAACCACAGCACTTGTCTGCTCTTTTTTCGTCTTTTGCTGTTTTTGTGCAGAATAAACGTAGAGACCGAGAGGCACTGGCGCTACACAAAACCGTACTGACCTTTCCAAAACAGACGCCGTGCCCCCCACCTCCCCATACCCCCACCACCCCTCTACACACAACCCCAAAATGTCACCACCAGCTCCTCGGGCTCTGTGACCCGACTGAGGCGAGCTGGCAGAGGGTTTGCATTTACCGTCAAACATGAGGCCCATTTTTAGTCCGTATAAACGTCTTGTGTTGCAGTGAGTGGAGGAATGAGCCCACGTGTGCGCTTGTTTTTTGGGCCGCGGCGCAGCCAGAAGGTCACGGTGACTCGGGACAGGATGGAGCGGGCTGCCTGACCTGGGCTGCCGTGCCAAAGAGGCGGATGGTTTCCACTGCGGCGGGCAAAGGCGGGGAGCAGCGGGAGTGGAAATAGTTTGAGGGAAGGGTTGACATTGTGAGCATTGTGGAGGTCTGTACAAGCTGCTGGGGGAAAACCATCTCAAACAATAAAGAACCTGTATATTAAAAGGTTATAGGGCTACGGCTTTTTGAAATGCAGTGGTCACTCATTTCATCTCACCTTTTGCGGCCTCGCTGGCTTTTTTTTTTCTGTAATTGTGTGTGCTTTTTACAGTGTGCTTTTCATGCGCCACATGAAACATCATATAACCGCGTCTAACATGACATTTACCTTCATTTAAAGTCATAAATAAACTTTCGTGGCGTGTGTTCACCTTTGTGATAAGCTCAGAGGACTACTGTGGTCTTCCTGTAGCCTTGCTCCTGCTCCTCAGTGTCCTCTGCAGCTGTATTTTACACTGTATGCACGGCTTTTGACAGCTGCAGCAGCGCTCAGACCCACAACCAACAGGTTTGATATCCCCGTGATCGCGCTTCAGCAGCTGTTAGTTCAGGTGGTTAGAAAAGTGTACAAAGTCTGTGATGAGGAGTTTTACAGCCTTAAAACATACAGCTGATACTTTGTTTTTTTAGATTATTACAGATTAATTTTATAATGTACCCCCGTGATCAATGAGGGACCACTGCAGTTTTTCTACTTTAGTAACTGATTATCATTATTATTATTATTAGTCATTAAATGGAAACATTCTAAAAAGAGGTTTTAGACTTATACTGCATATTTTTAATCAAACAACTCACTGTGGGTCAAATGTATGAAACATCCCACATTCATTGACTTTTTGTCATCAAAACGACTAAACAAGTAAAAAAACAATCAGCCAACTAATCCATATAATCCTTAATCCATCCATCAATCAATCAATCACAAAGCTAAAACAAAGTGCTTCACAGCCCATATCACAAAAGGCTTAGATCCTCACATACATCATAAACGTTAAAATCACACAGGGCATTAAAAGCAAACATTAAGATCACGTGGAAGATTAAAAATATAACAATAAAACTCACAAAGCAGGTAATTAAAGACATTAACACACACTGCTCCAGCTTTAATGTTATTTTAATATTAGTATATAAATGCAGACAAACAAAGCCATGCTGAATACCAACAGTGAAATATAGACTTCCTGAAGCCGGGTTCAGGGTCCACATGTTGAAAACCGGCTGTATCACGTCTCTGTGTTTACGCCAGAACTTTGTGATGACATTGTTCCAGCTCTTTATCCTGAATATGATGAGAAATAACAGCTTAAGTAGAAATTATATTCAGTAAAACGAATCAAAAGTAAATAATACACATAATAGATATATATAGGGCTGCCATATCCCTGTGCGGCCACTAGAGGGAGGTGTAGAGTTACAGGTTGCAAAAGGAATGTATGGGAAATGATGTTGTGATGTCATAGTGGTACAATGAGATGATTTTATTACAGGACTGAATGGGCAGTTACATGTTGGAGGCAGAAGTTCCTGATCTAAGCATGAATAGATCTAAAAACAACAACAGGTCTGTGATTGATGATGGAGCAATGTCGTGACCAATTGGTTCAAAGCTAAAAATAAATACATTATACAAGATTTAATGATTCCTTAAAGTTAAGTTTTTAAACAAATGAGATGAAATGTAATTGCAAATGTAATTGTAATCACCACTGGAGGTATTTTGTGCCGTTTTAAACCCAGGAATCATCAACAGTCTGAGTCTTTCACATCAGTACTACTGCCTGCATGTGCTGCCATACTGTACTCTCTTATACGATCATCGAGACATTCCTAATATAATTTTTTTTAACAATATCCTTTTTTCTAACTTACTATTTTTTATCCAGTATTATGCTTATTATCTGTCCTTTTTTATTTTTATTTTTAATTATGATGCTAGACAATGTACAGTTCCGCACACACACACACACATATATATATACAGACACACACACACATTATCTGCTGTGTCCCTTAAAATATGTATCGCTCCATATATTTTTGTTTGTTGTTCTTTTGTTAAATCAAATAAAGTAAAAAAACTAAAAAACATTGTTCTTTTCTTTCTCACACCTCCTCTATCACGGAGTATTCACGGGGACACTACTTACTTTTTCAAAATTCAGTAAGAATAGTTTATATAGAGGTGCCCTTCATAGTCCAGAAGTACTGTGTGTTTAAGAGCCAATATGTACACAAATAATGCATCATATCCGCCTTTCTGTGTGGAGTTTGCATGTTCTTCCAGTGGGCATAGAGTTTAAGCACTGGTCCGGGCGCAGCATCAGTCATCCACGCACAGGTCGACAAGCACAAACAGTGAGCGCAAAGTAACGGTGCAACGTGTTGAAGAAAGAGAGACAGAGACAGAGAGAGAGAGAGAGACAGAAAGAGAGAGAGAGAGAGACAGAGACAGAGAGAGAGAAAGAGAGAGAGAGAGAGAGAGACAGAGAGAGAGAAAGAGAGAGAGAGACAGAGAGAGAGACAGAGACAGAGAGAGAGAAAGAGAGAGAGAGAGAGAGGTGACGATATATTCTCATTCATCTCCAAATATTATTGCTCCCATGATCACAGTCTCGTTCTCAATCACACCGGCTGTTGAATTTACTCATGTGAAATGCATAATTAGTGGTCTATAAAGTCATCACCGTTACAATCACCCTTCTGTGGCCAGAGTCTTCCCTTCTAGTAGCCCCGAAGCACCAATTACTGATGCAATCCACCTGCTGGAGTTGAGTTAGAAACACTACAATCCATGAGTATTACCGATGACTGCTTATTTCTGTATCTGTACTATTCTTGGGACTGAAGAAAAAAGATATGTGCAATTGAGCTGGTTTTGGCTCTAACAAACTGGCAACCTCACTCTGCTCTCTGATTGGATGATCTGTTTGAAACTCGCAAACACACATTCGATGGATTGTATGTGGAATGAACAAATTGCGTATCTTGTGAACTCCTCTCTCTCTATGTGGCGTAGAGCTTTGACACGTTCCCCATATCTTCCTTGCAATGATTCAAAAAGGTTCATTTTGTTCATTGAGTTAAAACGTTTTTTTGTGATTCTTTTGAAAGGAATTTTAGATGTATTAACGTTTCAAAAACAAGTTTCTTCATAAACGGTGATGAAGAAACAGCAGAGACGGTACACACAGAAGTCAAGTTTATTTGACATTGAACATGTTTTTTATTGTATTGTTCTTTTTCCCCTTGGGGACGATAACGTTTTTGAGTTGAGTTTACAGTTTTAAACCTCAAATATACATTCAAAACAAACATATAATCAGACTCCTGACTCGCAGTGTCTGTCAGTATAAACAGTACCATATAGAAATGATAAGAATATTCATGCAGATAATGCTCATTGACAGCTGGGTACATCACTTTTGACAGTCAGTTCAGTTTGTCTCAAGAAATTAGTCATGGAAAAGTTACATTTTATGAACAAATCAGACCAAAACATGCTGCACTCATGAGATAATAATGTGTCTTTGTGAACGCCGGCTCAGTTTACAGTTAGATACTTAGACAAAAAACAAAAAAACAGACAAATGTGGTCCGAACCAATCTCTACAGCAGTTGAAGAAAACCTACATAGCAAATAGTTACAAAATATAAGGTTGTAAATGCCTGAATCAAGTCATTTTTATCTTAATTTGAGCATATTTTAACTTTCTAAAAATAATATTTGCAAATGGAACAAGCCATTTAGCCTTTTTTCAAGTGCAGTTGCAATTTATGTCTAATTCCAAGGAAGACACTTCTTGAATTTTCTTGTATCTTTTTAAAACAAGAAATGTGAACTGGTCCCATTGGCAAATCTTGTTTTTAGACTGTCAAAATGTGCTCAAATTTAGATTAGAAAAAGCCTTGATTCAAACATTTATTACCCTATATTTTTTCATTTTTTTGCAGTGTACACCCCACACACAGAAGAGCCCAAAATGGCTTCCAGCTAAACCCCTCCTTTGTTGACAAAACGAGTGAGCGAGGGCCTCTCTTTGTCACTTTCTGTCTTGAAAAGCGGATCTAAGATGAGACGGACGGAAAAAATACATGAAAACTGTTGAAAGAACCACTCTGCTTTGAGAAAGAGAAACTAATAACATGGATTATATTACTTGGCTACAGTTTTTGTGGTTTAAAAGTTAGGTACCAACTTTAACGTTTATATCATAATAGTAGCGTTTCCATGGCAACACAGGCCCTCCACCACCGCAGGGACTGTGTCGTGCAGCTTCGTACAGTCAGTCTATGGATTTAGACTGACAAATCCTGTTTAAGATTGAACGCAGCGAAGGAAGTAGCTGTTCCGGAGCACACGGAACAGTCTGCCGGAGCTCAGGCTGTACTCGTGCATGTAGGGGCCGCTGTAGACGTACGTGAAACCTGGAACAACAAATCACTGTCATCATCTCGCTCACAGCCCACATGCACCTGAACATGTTACCTCTGTACTGAAAAGCTGCCGTCACTTTGTCCGTCAGGCCTGGAAATGTTTCTCCCACTCTTTTGGGATGTCCATTATCCACTTTTTGTGTGTTTTCGTCGAAACTAAAATGAAACAACATTTAGTTACGTGAAAGTACTTGTAACTTAACTGCAAAACCAAAAGTGACTTATATATTGTGAACGTACCTGAAATAGTAATCACTAATAAAGAACAATGTCTTTCTGGTTTCCACGTCAAAAAGTGCAGCATCTATTCTCTTCACCCATCGGGGAAGACCGAAGCTGGTCAGTCTCTTTGGAAAGCCCTGGACCGGAGTGTAGCCTGCAAAGGCCCAGACGCGACGACCTGGAAACACACGACACGATGTGGTACAGGGTTTATATCTATCAAAAGGTTGTGACAAGGAGGCAACTGAATACTGTATACACAATATCTACACATCAATATCTAAGTAAGTAAGTAATCTTTATTTATATACCGCCTTTCACAGACCAGAGTCACAAAGCAGTTTACAATTGTTATTTTTTGGGGCAATTGTCTCTCACTCCACACAGAGATGGGAGCGGGGTCAGTACAGGAGATGCATGCCAGACCTATTGTACATATTTTTAGTGGTAGGGGAAACCGGAGTACCCGGAGGAAACCTACGCAGACACGGGGAGAACATGCAAACTCCACTCAGAAAGGCCCTGGTCCGACCGGGATTCGAACCCATGACCTTCTTGCTGAGAGGCAAGAGTGCTATCCACTCAGCCATCTATACGTGTTGTGTAAACTTTCATGGTCAACTATATTTATTGAATACGTATATATTTCTGTGGATGTGGAGGAGGGTCTGATGATTTGATCTGATGACAAACAGCGATTGTGAGGCTTCGTACCTTTGAAGAAATAGACCCTGTCAGAAAGCCTGCTCTCATAGGCCGCATCCAGACTGGAAGGAGCACTGGGCCACATCCTGGAGATCAGACTCTGCTGCGGCCGACTGCTCTGAGGAGTACTGCGCCAGACAAAGCTGTAGAAAGAAAAATAAACAATCAATTCATGATGGTGGTGGTTTGATATTTTGTTGTATTGCTACCTGTCTTTGAAGAAGAACATTTCGCCTCTCAAAGTTGTGACTGCATCCAAAACCATGGTGGAGTCACATGCGTCGGGGGTGACGGGGGGAGGCGGGAGACTCTCGGCTGTTCCAGGGAAGCTCTCAGTGTTACGGCCTGAACACAAACACAAACACACATTATAAGCTACATCTAAATATAAAATGTGTCTTCTATAAGTGTGTATACCATATAAAGCCTGGATGCCAACGACATCATCTCGGGGCAGAACAAAGGTGTCTGGGTTTCTGTAGGTGTAGGTGGGGTACATGAGCGCCCCTGGGTCATCCGAGTGGGACAGGCCCAGAGAGTGACCGAACTCATGGGCAGCCACCATGAACAGAACATAGCCTGGAACATAGAGAAGATGAATGTAGTTACACAAATATAGAGATGATGAAAACAACATGGATCTTTTGAAATAACTGAATAGGGGATTACTAGCTTATTGCAGACTAAATACATGTGGGTTACTCAGAAAAATGTCCCATAGAACTCAATGTAAAATAAAACAGCTCAACCTCAGCTGACAGAGAACCTGACAGAGAACCTACAGCTTTCATGAAGGTCGGATTTCATGGGGATTTTAGTGTCTCTTGATATCCTGAATTTATTTTGTACTCTTTGAACAAACTCCTCTGAATTATACTCAACAAGAGACTGTGCTGGAAGAAAAGGGTCTGCTATGTATCATACTGTATTTCTGAATATGCTATTGTTACTTAATGGCAAAAGTTGCACTGGTCTGTAGGGCTTGGTTGTACAATAAACAAAACTCTTGATGATCCACCTGGAAGTAGAAAATCCTCCTATATACCTTTAAATATTGTCAGTATGTCTGTATTTAATGCTTATTCAATGGTATATTAAAAATCAAAATATTTATATATGTGATTGATTGTTTACCAAGCCTGAAATTCATTAGATAATTATTCAAATCCAGCCCCGGCCCTAAGGTTTTGTTGATGTGTATGTCAGAAAAAAAAAAAATTCCATGAGACTAACCAGAGTTTGACCGAGAAGTGAAGCTTTCATCATCGTCAAAATGTGCGTCTCCTCCGATGCCAGAGGACGGAGCAAAGGCATGGGCCAGAGTTCCATCAGGACCATCAAACGGGTAATAGTCTCCATGGGCTGTGATGAGGACGACAAGGGAAATTGGTGATTCGCAATTAATTACACCATGAAACAACGACAGTGAAGTATTTCCTTCCAAATCACAACAGAATCAAACCCAGACTCATGTTTCAAACAGACCCCCATTTTTCTCCCCAAATACAACACATACAGCTTCTTCTGTGTGATATTCATGGACTAACTTCTGCTTTACTTTTCTTTTTTTATTGACTAATGTTCAGGTCAAAAATGTGAATGTTGTGCACAAATGTGACCTGTGTTATTCACTTTGAAGCAGCAATATGTAAGATTTTCATGTCAAGTCATCATTAAAGGGCCCTAATCTGTCCAAAGGCATTAATAAAACATGGTCTTTTCCGATACTTCTTTAACTGATAACAGTAGTTCAGAGATATTTGGATTTCAGAATTACTTTTCCAGCCCCTAAATCTTGTTTTCATTTCAATGTCCCGCCCTCCACTGTTTCACCAATCAGAAAATCTGTGATCCAGGCGCCAGAACTCACCGCTGGAGCTAATCTCACTGGGAAAGTACCATGTGGCCGCAGAACTAAAAAAGGTCTCGTTATGATTTTCAAATTATTCATGACAAAACTAGAACTTAAACAATAATTTCTATCAGGGCCTTTGAGAGTTGACAAAACTTAATTCAGTTATTGTGGTTCCAGCTGAATTCGTCTGCATATCTGGCAACCTGAGTCAGAGCGAGTGCAGTACCACTTTTGGCAAGATTTTTACATACTGCTCCTTTAAATGATGGTTCAATTGTCTCCATATTAAAGTAAGAACAGAAAGTAAGACAGAACTTCTTACAGACTTTAGAGTTGAATCTGTGGTTGTTTAGTTTTTATTGTTTATTGAAGTTATCTCTGTGGGTTTGAAGGAGTAATATTATCCCATAAGACACAATTTCTTGTTTTAGGCCTGATTACATTTTTGCATCATTATTGTATAGGGATCTCCCAGTCACATGACCCATAGCCGCGTGTCAGCCATTTTGACAGAATCCGTCCGCCGACTCCGCAGCAATGGCGCTAAGCTAGCTAGTTCAAAAACTCTCTGGAACAACATGAAAACTGAACAAAGAATTCTGAACATCAGCGGTGAGTGACCCATTTACCCAACCTAAATCCATAATCAGATCCTCTTCAGGTGTCCTAAAATGTTCGTTTCATGTTAATGGTTACTTCCGTTAACAAATAATTCTGAAAACCTTTGTGCATTTGTGTTAGGGATGTATATGTATACTGTATTCTCTGATTAACATTTAATGGTGTTGATTGATTGGTATTTGTTTGAGAGTGGCTAGCTTCTCTACACAGTAGTGACAGGCACCAAAAGCTCGTTGTACTTTTATTTTTGTTATGAAAACATGAACAAATAATTCTGAAAACCTCCGTGCACCCGGTATAAAGATATTCCTTTTGTCTGATCACGTATCTGGTCGCATCCAACTGCACAGCATTGCTCCGGCATGATAGGAAAAATTTGCAACGACATGAAGTATCACCGGCGGTTTTGCATTTTCTATTCCGTCAAGATGGCTGCTCCAAATGGCGTGACGTCAGGCGGGACATCCCCATAGATTGATATGAACAATAAAAGGTGAAATATGTGTTTTTCAAAATCTTTTCAGCGCACTATGCTCCTGTGAGTTGAAGGTCTTTTATCAATTGTCTTTTAGTAAATATTTTGTAGACCTCTTTGAAGGCGTTTTATACAACTTGTTCTAGAATACAGTGATCGCCCCCTCTCTTCGATCACTCGTTCCATGGCCTATGGGAGGGGTACCCAAACTATTGTACTTACCAAATGAATCTGCAAATTTAGGCACCGGTGTCAAACTCATTTCGGCCGCAGCTCAGTTTGTGCTTGGAGACTAATACAGTTTTCAAGATTCATTAATTGATTGTTTGTTTAAATTAAATTCCAGTTGTTGACATAGCACCTGTGATCATACATCTCCTTGCTCCTTGTTTATACTCTGTGGTACGTCTGAAGCAACAATCACAAAACCACACAAACCTCAGTCAGCTATGTGCTCCGCTGTCAGACAGACAAGTCCAAACTCAGCGCAGAATAACAACAATAATAATGTGGTGATCAAATAATGAGAGCTTACAGTAGCGCCCGAAGGAGATCATGATGTCCGCGGTGCCGCTGTGGATCCTGGAGAACCTCAGGGGTGTGACTTTGGCCCAGACCTGTAGAGCCTTTTCGATAGAAGAGTCCACCTCTGACCTGGACATGTCCGGAGTGTAGTTTTCAATCCTGCGGCGCAAACATCCGGTTATTTTAAAATCCTGAGTAGAAATCTAGCCATGTGCTCCAAGCTCCTGTTTTGGCATCGGATCAATTTAATTACAGAAACATTCACAAATTAAACCAAAATTTTACATGATTTTTGTATAACCCTCATAAAGTCTGGACACAGTGTTTCAAGATCGATCAACTCAAACTTTTTTTTTACCGTGTGACACAAAGTTTGCTCTGTGAATTGGATTTTATCTAAAAAATAGTTGGATGTTAAATGTAAAGTGGCAGTAGTTAACGTAGTGGTCTGATAAAGTCGTTACGATTGGTACAAACCAATTTCCAAAATTTGCCAAAATCTTCCTGTTAGCTAAGGGTCACCAAACAAACTGGCAACTCATTCTGCTCTCTGATTGTGGACATAAATATGATCTTAATATTATTATTTATCATTTTATTTTTCATTAAGAAAACTTGATTTTACATTTGAGTTGAGAACGGGTCAAATATGACTGGAACATGTCTCTTTATCTGCACAAATGTTAATGTTCTGGACTAACCCCAGAAGCACAACATCACAGTCTCATGTTTCCTCCAAGTTCAACCACCAACCTCTGTTTGACCACGTTTACCTACATCCCCTTAGACCTGTACCTGTGGGTCAGACCTGTACCTGTGGGTTAGACCTGTACCTGTAGGTCAGAGCGCACCTGTGAGTCAGACCTGTACCTGCAGGTCAAAGCGGTACTTGTAGTTCAGTCCTGTACCTGTAGGTCAGACCTGTACCTGTGGGTCAGACCTGCACCTGTATTTCAGTCCTGTACCTGTAGGTCAGACCTGTACCTGTGGGTCAGACCTGTACCTGTGGGTCAGAGCGGTACCTGTAGGTCAGACCTGTACCTGTGGGTCAGACCTGTACCTGTGGGTCAGAGCGGTACCTGTGGGTTAGACCTGTACCTGTAGGTCAGAGCAGTACTTGTAGTTCAGTCCTGTACCTGTGGGTCAGACCTGTACCTGCAGGTCAAAGCAGTACTTGTAGTTCAGTCCTGTACCTGTAGGTCAGATCTGTACCTGTGGGTCAGACCTGCACCTGTATTTCAGTCCTGTACCTGTAGGTCAGACCTGTACCTGTGGGTCAGACCTGTACCTGTGGGTCAGAGCGGTACCTGTGGGTCAGAGCGGTACCTGTAGGTCAGAGTGGTACCTGTAGGTCAGAGCTGTATCTGTAGGCCAGACTTGTACCTGTAGGTCAGAGCGTTACCTGTAGGTCAGAACGGTACCTGTAGTTCAGACCTGTACCTGTGGGTCAGACCTGCTCCTGTGGGTCAGACTTGTACCTGTAGTTCAGACCTGTACCTGTGAGTCAGACCTGTACCTGCAGGTCAAAGCAGTACTTGTAGTTCAGTCCTGTACCTGTGGGTCAGACCTGTACCTGTGGGTCAGACCTGTACCTGTGGGTCAGACCTGTACCTGTAGGTCAGAGCGCACCTGTGAGTCAGACCTGTACCTGCAGGTCAAAGCGGTACTTGTAGTTCAGTCCTGTACCTGTAGGTCAGACCTGTACCTGTGGGTCAGACCTGCACCTGTATTTCAGTCCTGTACCTGTAGGTCAGACCTGTACCTGTGGGTCAGACCTGTACCTGTGGGTTAGACCTGTACCTGTAGGTCAGAGCGCACCTGTGAGTCAGACCTGTACCTGCAGGTCAAAGCAGTACTTGTAGTTCAGTCCTGTACCTGTAGGTCAGACCTGTACCTGTGGGTCAGACCTGCACCTGTATTTCAGTCCTGTACCTGTAGGTCAGACCTGTACCTGTGGGTCAGACCTGTACCTGTGGGTCAGAGCGGTACCTGTGGGTCAGAGCGGTACCTGTAGGTCAGAGTGGTACCTGTAGGTCAGAGCTGTACCTGTAGGCCAGACTTGTACCTGTAGGTCAGAGCGTTACCTGTAGGTCAGAACGGTACCTGTAGTTCAGACCTGTACCTGTGGGTCAGACCTGCTCCTGTGGGTCAGACCTGTACCTGTAGTTCAGACCTGTACCTGTGAGTCAGACCTGTACCTGCAGGTCAAAGCAGTACTTGTAGTTCAGTCCTGTACCTGTGGGTCAGACCTGTACCTGTGGGTCAGACCTGTACCTGTGGGTCAGACCTGTACCTGTAGGTCAGAGCGCACCTGTGAGTCAGACCTGTACCTGCAGGTCAAAGCGGTACTTGTAGTTCAGTCCTGTACCTGTAGGTCAGACCTGTACCTGTGGGTCAGACCTGCACCTGTATTTCAGTCCTGTACCTGTAGGTCAGACCTGTACCTGTGGGTCAGACCTGTACCTGTGGGTCAGAGCGGTACCTGTGGGTCAGAGCGGTACCTGTAGGTCAGAGTGGTACCTGTAGGTCAGAGCTGTACCTGTAGGTCAGAGCGTTACCTGTAGGTCAGAACGGTACCTGTAGTTTAGACCTGTACCTGTGGGTCAGACCTGCTCCTGTGGGTCAGACCTGTACCTGTAGTTCAGACCTGTACCTGTGAGTCAGACCTGTACCTGTAGTTCAGACCTGTACCTGTGAGTCAGAGCGGTACCTGTAGGTCAGACTGTTCTTCTTCCACTTCAGGTCTCCTCCAAACGTGGAGTAGCGAGCGATCTTTCCGTCTGGGACCCCACAGCGAGGCTTCTTCATGAGGGCCACGGTGTCGTTGTCCAAAGAGCCCGTGATGTGGAGACCGAAGAACCGCTGCATCTCGCTCAGCTTCTTCACGATGGGACTGAGGCCGCGGCGAGACACGGGCCCCGCCTCCTCCGTCAAGTTAAAGAACCTTTTCAAGTAGTTCTGAAATACAAAGACCGTGGAATTCATGACCCAGACTGAGGCTGTGGATGTGAACGATGGAACGTACCTCTGCTAAGTGCTCATCCTGAAGAGTGAGCTCAGGGACGGGAGCAGAGTGAGCGGCTCTGAGCGACACCAGCACAAAGAGAGTGAGAGGAGCCGCACTCTTCATGGTGTTAAGGTGGAATGTGTGGAAGGACAGGAGCAGCTGGTATATACACGCAGACACGGAGGAGGAGGCGGGTCCAGGGACTCACAAACATGGATACAACCTGAAACATCTTCACACTGAAAGCTTAGTATTTACTCAGAAACTTGATTCTTCTTCCATAGGAAAAAAAAATCTGATTTGTTTAGTGGCTTCAAAACTATTCTTTGTACATGTTCTTGATACGACCATACTAAAATGTTATTGGCATCTTATGTGAATCACCAAGCCACCGGCAAATGTGAAATGAAATCAACGTCACACATTGCATTTTTCTTTTTCAAATAAAAAACTGAAAGTTGTTGCTAGATCATCTCCACTGATGGATTAATCTGAGCTCTGCGAGATGTTCAAACCATAATCTGTGAGAATCTATAATCATCTACAATAATCTATAATAATCTGTAATAATATATAATAATCTGTAATAATCTATAATAATCTATAATAATCTATAATAATCTATAATAATTTATAATAATGTATAATAAATTGAAATAATCTATAATAATCTGTAATAATATATATGAATCTATAATAATATATTATAATCTAGAATAATCTATAATAATTTATAATAATGTATAATACATTTAAATAATCTATAATAATCTGTAATAATATATATTAATCTATATTAATATATTATAATCTATAATAATCTGTAATCATCTGAAACAATCTATAAAAATCTATAATAATCTATAATAATCGGAAATAATCTATAATAATCTATAATAATCTGTAATAATCTACAATAATCCATAATAATATATAATAATCTATAATAATCTGTAATGATCTGAAATAATACATAATAATCTGAAATAATCTATAATAACATATATTTTTATACAACCTAAAAAAACTCTTTAAACGCCTCCTTCTTCAGCTGTGACCTGGAGTCCATGTTTAGTGACCACTGTTCTCTTCACAAAGCTCCTCACATGAACTTTAGGCCGACCATTGATCCGTGTCAATCACAGTCGCTTCAAAAGGAAAGTGGTTGCACTCAGAGAAAAGGGGATTGAATACTTTTGTTTTGGATGTGTTTTGGCTGCTACTGGCCATTACTGAATTCTTTGACATACAACAAGAATTTATTTGCCATTTGCCGTTAACCCACATTGGAAAAACTTGAAAAACTCCCCCAGTGTGCACCAGACAGAGAAGTCGGCACACACCAGAGCTCTTTCCACGGTGCCACGGTCAAGTATCTATCTGTCTGTCTATATCGTTATCTAGAAATGAAGAGGTTCAGGAGTGGGCAGCCGGCACAGCACCGCGGTCAGGAATTTAGCAAAGTCCATAATGAGTCCTGAGAGCAGACATCATGCTGAAACACGACCCCACACGTATTCGAAAGAGCACATTTGGATAAAGATCTGCAGGATGGAAACTCCAGAAAGCATAAAAACAAATGCCCGAGCCTAAAGTTAATCGCTTTTTCTCGCATTAAAACAGTATTTTTGCCAATCCAAGCTCCTCCTACATGCTTTTTACCACGATGCCAGTCTGCAGACGAAACTCATTCTGATCTTTTTTATCCACGGTCTTGTCCTTTCTGTCATTATTCAAAGTATGTGACCAAAGGTGAAGGAGGAAACCTGCAAAATAAAAATTAATTCTGTGATACAGCAGCAGCAACACTGTAGAAACAGCTCGATGAGGCATAAACATCCTTAAACCATGGTCTGTGAGAATTCCAAAGTTAATTGCCGTGCATTATTTTCGTATATACGCACACGTAGTCCGGTAAGTTTAATATCATGCTCTTTTTCACTGCAGAGACCACTGCCATAGTAACTGTAACACCTGGATCATATAAACTGTCAAGTAGGTAACAAGCCGTAGCGACTAATAGCGCCGGATAACAAGGATTTTGAGGTGAATTTGAACATTTTTGGACAGAACAATATACATTTTGCAAGTTTGAAATTTGAATTGATGCCCATTTGGTCAATGTCAATGTTTTGTCTGCGTGTTAATGAAAGTAGTTCCCAACGGTTGCTAAGGCAGAAGTTTTGTTTTCAGACTAAATAATTAAATAATCCCTATATTTTGCCAGTTCAGTAAAGTCAATAAACATTTGTTATATTCGGCGTTGTGGTGTTCATCATAACTGTATAACACACAGCTCCGTGTTGTTTAACCCTTCCATAAAATAGGTGTGTTTTGGTAACGTTCTCTGTGGTTGTTGTGTCCTGACTTAATCCCAGGTATTGCACAGAATGTGATGGTCACACCCATGGGCTGTATATATCGTCCCTCATGACCCATGGAAGTCTCCAAAAGCTGTTTCAGTCAAAGGATAAGTGTCACTTGGGAATGTGCCTCCAGCAATAACTGAAAGTAGCGAGAGAATGAACACATCTGGGTATTGTCATCATGTAGCGATGGGACAAATGCAAACACCAGGTCCAAGCCCAGTGTGAAAACAGAAACTTGTTGAAATTCTGTGTTGCTTCACGCTTCATAAACGTCAATCTGCTCAAGTTCCTCATTCTTCATGACATAGACATCCTGAAAGAACACAAATATATTTTAAATCCATTACACGTTGACAGCTGTGATTGTGAACGGCAATAAGAAGTATTGGTTGGTTTTCAAATATACCATAAACAAGTGTTGTCACATTATGCAAAAGGTAACATGTTCATTTTACAAGACTGCTGGGACCATCAATTACTTATTTATGAAGGGAAAAAATAGAAAATAGATTGATATAATAAATGCCCAACTAATCCACGAGTTGTTTAGATAAAAAAAGTTAGTGAATACGTTTTTTTTCACACATTTGACCAAGACACATGCAGCCAAAGTGATGTCACTCAAGACCATATTCATACACACAAGATAAACTGTTGGTTGTAGCGATTACAGCTGATTGAGTCATCTTGGCATGTTTACATCTGTATACACCTGTAGAGCCCTGCACGGGCCTATTATCTGGGCCCGAGCCCGGCCCTGGCCCGAGGGGGTGGCGCCCCAGCCCGGCCCGGCCCGATATGGTTTCTGAATTTTCAGGCCCGAAACCCGCATCAAGCCCGCCTTTTTTTTTTTTGTAACCTCCCATAACAATGTTTTAGCGTAGTATATAGTGCCGCGCACTGATATGAACGCAGACTTAGCTAGAGGGCGGAGTTATACATGGTAGTGATGTGTTGCAATGAGTTCTGTGTGTGCGGAGTGGTGCAGAGTGAACGGCCGCATCTGTATGATGCCCCCGATGCTGCAACACATCTGCACATTACATAAGTAATGCTATGTGCCGTCAATGACAACACTACACAGAACAACAAACACTACAGCGTGATAGAACGCTATATTCAGTGGGTGCGCTCGTAAATCTATTCTGCCACTCTGAAAATGAAGAGCCCGAGCCCGGCCCGTGTCCGAGGTCATTATGCGGTCATCGGCCCGAAGCCCGGCCCTCGGGCTGTCGGGCCGTCGGGGCCCTCGGGCCAAGGGCTCAAGTGCAGGGCTCTATACACCTGTATATACACCTGTATAACCGATTTCAGTGTCTGCAGGATCTGCAGGATGGAAACTCCAGAAAGCATAAAAACAAATGCCCGAGCCTAAAGTTAATCGCTTTTTCTCGCATTAAAACAGTATTTTTGCCAATCCGAGCTCCTCCTACATGCTTTTTACCATGATGCCAGTCTGCAGACGAAACTCATTCTGATTTTTTTTATCCACGGTCTTGTCCTTTCTGTCATTATTCAAAGTATGTGACCAAAGGTGAAGGAGGAAATTAATAGTTACCAAATGTAATGTTGTGGAATTTCTAAGGAGTGAAATACACAATATTAAATGTAAAATAAACAACAAGAGCTGTAGTTCAAATCAAAGTGTGGTTTATTATCTCAGTAAATGTATACATATACAGGAAATACAACCGTGTGGCAGGTCCCGGGTAGATCTGCTGAATAGTGCTCACTCTCTCTCACATTTATAGGATGGAATAAACAAAAGAGTCTATCTATGGCGCCTCTGAGTCCGAGATTAGACGGCAGCTATGGCCCAAACCCCCCTCTCTTCTGACGTCTCACCCTGATAGACTCTGATATTACTCTGATATTAGGAAGAATTGTCACTATGACCGGTGAGCCTGCTCTTCTGGCCCCTGGTATCAATCTCGTATCTGCCTCAACCCCGTCATTGGCCTCGCGTCTCTAGAGAAAAACAGCTTAGTTAGTTTCAATAGATTTACTGGCTTTGAACTTAGTCCCAGATATCCCATTTCATCATTAGATTTATTCTTAAGTTAAATTGATTTATAATCCCAGTAAGATTTCTATAACAGTAACTTAAGTTCTACGAATAGGTGCGTAGAACTTAAGTTACATTAGGTAACTATTAATTCGACGTCATGGTGCTACGTCCATTAGGACTTCGCTAGTGGGACACAACGCGGAGGCCGTAGGAACATGTACTCCCAGCAGGCCAGCGAAGGGTGATTGGAGCTCCGCCCGAGCAAGACCCTCACAAGTGAGAGGACTCAGGGCAGAAGAAGCAAATGCGTGTTACAGGGCCACTCCTCCCAAGGATACCCCCACGTAACACAGACCGTAGGTCACCCGTAGTCCCAAGACGCCTCTCCCAAGAGCTCCTGACGTGGACTACCTGATTGACCAAAGCACACATATAAGTACCGCACCTGTAGGACGCCTCTCCCAAGAGCTCCTGAACCAGGGCGGAAAGTCAACCGAAGGCCCCCTCAGAGGAGGGACCTAACGGTCTAACTCAGTCCGCTGCACTCAGCACGGAATGGGCCACCGACCGGTCCGACACATCCAAAAGATAAGACCGGACGAAAGAAGAGGACGACGCCCAAGAAGCCGCACGGCAGACGTCCTTGACCGACGCCCCCCTGAGAAGGGCCGTAGAGGCCGCCATCCCACGCGTGGAATGCGACCTGAAGCCCACCGGGGGGGCCAGACCTTGCGCCTGATACGCCCGCCGCACAGCCGTGGCGACCCAGTGCGCCAGCCGCTGAGCCGACAGCGGGGCGCCCCTGTTCTTGGGGCCCAGACACACAACAACTGATCACCCAACCTGAATGACGACGTCATGGCCAGGTAACGCCTAAGCATTCTGACAAGACACAGAAGGTGCCGCCGCTCCTCCTCGGGGGAGGCATGCGGTGGCGGATAGAAAGCCCTAATCCTGCTGACTCTCGACCTAAAGGCCGACGTGAGGACCTTGGGGAGAAAGGCCGGATTGGGCCACAATTTCACCATGCCGTCGCCCTCTCCAAAGGACAGGCAAGACGCATGGACAGAGAGCGCACACAAGTCGCCCGGCCTCTTAGCAGACGCCAACGCCAGCAAGAGGGCCGTCTTAAAAGCGACACACTCGGGACTCGCCTCCGCCGCCGGTTCAAAAGCCCCCTAAGGACCACCCTGAGGTCCCAAACCGGGGGCGTTCTCTGGAGCGGGGGCCTCCTCCTGCGCGCCCCCCGCAGAAAACGTTTAACCAACGGATGAGAGCGGGCTGTGAACCCCCCGAATCCGTCGTGACCCGAGGTAATGGCTGCCGCGAACACCGCCAAGGTGGCGACAGCCCTCCCTTTGTCAAAAAGCTCCTGTAGGAATCCCAGGACCCCCTCCAGCGGGCAACGCCTGGGATCCCGGGAGCGAGAACCGCACCAGTCGCTGAAGAGCCTCCACCTCGTGGCGTAGGCCCTCACAGTGGACGGCGCCCTCGCCCCCTGAATGGTCTCCACCACCGCCGGGGGAAGACCCAGGTCTACGAGGTTCCGCCCCCCCCCCGGACTAGAGCCCCCGGCTCGTCCGGGAGGGCCCAGGGCTCCATCACCGCCAGCCCCGCCAGGGGTAATGAGCCAGAGCATCCACGCCTAAGGGCGGCTCGTCCGCGCCCTTAAGGCGAACCAGGACGGGCACTGTGCGTTCTCTGCACTGGCGAAAAGGTCAACCACTGGACGGCCGAACCTCCGCCAGAACTCCGCAGCTACCCGTGGGGCCGGGCCCCACTCGTCCTGGAGTGGGCCCCCCCTGGACATCCTGTCGGCCCCCACGTTCCGGACCCCCGGGACGTGGCGCGCCCTCAGAGACAGAAGGTGAAGCGCCGCCCACAGCAGCGTCACCGTCGCCATGTGATGGAGAGCGGGGGACCTGGTGCCCCCCTGCCTGTTCAGATAAGAGACCACTGTGGTGTTGTCTGAGCGCACCATCACGTGTCTCCCCTGCAGCTGAGGAGCAAAGTGCAGCAGTACCCTGTGTACTGCCTCCATCTCCAGCAGGTTGATGTGACGGGCTGAGTCCGACCAGCAGCCTCCTACAGAGCTCTGGCCGAGGACCCCGCCCCATCCTTCGAGCGACGCGTCCGTGAACACCTCCACGTGAGACACGGCGCAGGCCAGAGTCACTCCGTCCCGCAATAGACCCGGAGTGAGCCAAAACCTTATGTCCGATGCTGCCACTTGGGGAACCCAGATAAGCCTCCCCCCGTCCCGGGAGGGGTGAAGCCTGAGGCGTGAGAACCACCTCTGAAATTCCTCATGTGGAGAAGGCCTAGCCGCACCACAGCATAAGCCGCCGCCATCATCCCCAGCAGGGACCTGAGGCGCCGAGCAGGGACCCTGGGGCCCGCCAGAACCTCCCTGGCCAGACGGGTAATGTTCCTCCGTCTGCCCACAATGCAGCACGGAATGTCACCGAGTCTAGCTGCAGGCCGAGATAGATCATGCGCTGAGCTGGCTGCAGCTTGCTTTTCTCCCTGTTCACCACAAAGCCCAGGCGCTGTATGTGGGACAGGACCCAGTGCGTGTGACTCACGGCCACTTCCCTGGATGAGGCCAGTATTAACCAATCGTCTATGTAGGTTAATATTCTTACCCCATTATTTTTATTCACATTAAAAAGTAAATTTAATATGGACAACATTTGGTCTTGAAGAATTTGGTCAATGGAATCTCAAACTTGAGTGGTAAAAACTAATGTAAAGTCAATCTGAAGAGACAAGAGAAAAGATGTGTATAAAAGATGTATTGATTGTAGGTCATTAGTTTGGCACAAAGGCCCCGGCTGTGGCCTTGCTCTGTGAGGATCTGTGCTTGATGCAGATCAGGATCCCCTGAGGACCAGACACTGGTGGTGGAAACAGGGCAAAGTGGATGTGAGTGAGTGAAGTGATCCTGAGGCGGAGGTGGAGGAGGTGGAGGAGGTGGTTGCAGCTTGAAAAGGCTGTTTGGTTTGCGGTGTCAAGTCAAAAAATTATGAGAATAAAGTCGAACTAGCAAAAATATGGAATTAATCTCCAAATATTATGAGGTTTATCTTAATATCATAATATTTCGGACCCCGGGAGAGACCAGCGCGGAGACCTCCTGCAGCAGCAGTATATATGCCATGGTTGTGTGGCCCGTGGATGAAGAAATGTACCCTCTGAATAGGATGAGGTCACTAATTGACGATACAATTTCCAATGTATTTGATAAAGCATTGGCACATGTAATTTAAAAATAAATTTAAAGATAGGCTAAATTACCACGAAAGCTGAATAAATACATACATCAATATGGAATACAAATCACTGTAATGTTGTGTTTTATTGAACATAACAAAAGAAGACAGCACCAGCGTGCGAACATGTCGGCACTGAATGTGCTCAAGAGTGCTCCTGAGTATTCATAGGATTTGTTCTTACCTCAGAGAAATCCTGGATAAGAGAAAAAATCAAGAATCCTCGTAAGAAGGACTTAAGAACAAATATTTTCGTAAGAACAGTTTGTGATGGAGGCCCATTGACAAGAGGCTAACGTCAAAAAAGACCTGTTTTAAGCTAAAAATGATAAATTCACTGTAATATGTTCTTTTGACACATGGGTCTGAAGAGCACGCCCAGTGTTCGTCATATTATACAGGAATAATGTCAACTTTGAGAAATTGGAGTTTGAAAATGGGTTTTAATGTCATGTGGGCCTACATTTTGGCAAACTATTCCAGTGGGGTCACTCCTCGAAGCTGGCATGTCATCCAGGTGAGATTAAACAGTGACTACAGTCGGCCTACTATGGGCAGATGTGCGTGAGTTTGTGTCTGAGTGTCATGAGCCCGCAGCCCGAACATGAAGAATGCGTCTGCAGATGGTGATCCGTCAGCTCCTGCTCTGGGCGTCATGGCAGAGGCTGAAACACGACTCTCCAGCCTCGGTCTCTGTGGAGCTTTGGGCCTTTGTGTCTGCACTGACCCCATGACTGAGTGGAAGAGCCCCCAGTGGAAGAGCCCCCAGTGGCAGCGTGGGACTCCTCCGCTCTCTGTTTTCATGGAGAGAGTTCTTTGACTGTGTGTGTGAGGCCCTGAGGCTCATCACACTCCTACTGGACATTAGTGAGCGCTCGTGACAGCAGCCGTCAGCAGCTGTGGAGGACGCTGTGACGTTTGGGCCCGGCAGGTTTGTGGAGACAGACAGGCGCCTTTGAAATGGTCTCCTCAGTCCTGGATCTACAGCCTCAGTCCTTGTTCTACAGCCTGAGTCCTGGATCTACAGCCTGAGTCCTGGATCTACAGCCTGAGTCCTGGATCTACAGCCTGAGTCCTGGATCTACGGCCTCAGTCCTTGTTCTACAGCCTGAGTCCTGGATCTACAGCCTCAGTCCTTGTTCTACAGCCTGAGTCCTGGATCTACAGCCTCAGTCCTTGTTCTACAGCCTGAGTCCTGGATCTACAGCCTGAGTCCTGGATCTACAGCCTCAGTCCTGGATCTACAGCCTCAGTCCTGGATCTACAGCCTCAGTCCTGGATCCACAGCCTCAGTCCTGGATCTATCTGGATTGATCCAGATAGATCATCCAGATCATCCAGATTGATTATCTGGATGATAATCGATTAGTTTAAACGTTTTCAAACACATTGTAAAAATGTGTTTAAAAATGTTTAAATGCTCCTTCTGGATGAGAAACTAGTCCATTATAATGTGATTCCGTTTGGTCCTAGAAACATGGAACCCTGATAATGATCACTATTCACTCATGATCAACGTGTTACTTCATCAAACCCTCTCCCACACTCGCTTCCACAGAGACCAGTAGGGGGCAGAGCAGAGCAGGACCAGGCCAACAATCTGTCCCAGCCCAGACCCCTGCAGGAGGCCCACATGTTACACTCACCATGAGCAAAAGTATGGATCTTTTATGAGACTTTTGGTGCAATTATGTCAAAGCTGAGCAGGTCGTCCCAACAGTCTGTACAGAAGGCACTATTTTTACACTTTTATAAAATGTAGTTAACCTTCATTTAACCAAGAAAGTCCCTTTAAGATTAAGAACGTCTTTTTCAAGTGAGTCCTGGACAAGAGATAGTAAAAGTAAGACACATTTGACAAGATTATAAAACAGGCGATGAGGACGTTAAAGTTCTCTCGATCTGGATTTAAAAGCATTCAAAGAAATGCTTTCAGTTTAATTTCCAGTTTTTTTTACAAATAAACTTGCCTCGCCTTCCAGTACAGAAGAGAGAAATCATGCATCTGGACCAGAACACTCCGAAAAAAAACACTTTTCTTGGGAGGATCAACCGAGAGGGACAGGTAAGAGCTAAATCTGTGCATGTGTGAGCACGCGTTTTTGACGTCTCTGCTCTGTTTACCCTTTTAAGCCTTTTAAAGCCTTTTAAAGCCTTTTAAACACGTTTTTACGGTGTATTAGTGTCTTTTATACACTCTAGTGTTTTTACCTTAAATGCAATGGTTCCAGAGCATCACGTCTTTTAACACAAAGACCCAATCGAAACGCGCTAGCTCGGAGGCTACCACGAGCGCACCACAGACATGGAAAGTGACACTGCAATGACCACGAACGACATTAGTCGCCTCACATTGGAGCTTCGTGAGAGGGACCGTGCCACTATTGCAGACCTCCGTAAAGAAGTCCTTCGCCTCACTGCAGAACTGCAGGACAAACAGTCACTCGTGTCCAAACTTTTTGATGTCGCTGGCGGGCAGCACTCACGGCTTATGTCACTGAGCGCTGCATACTGTGACACTGTCGTGTGGGAGAGGTCTGTCAGCTCTGGACCCTCCTGTTCTACACCTAAGCGCCCGGTTCCGAATGAGGAACCCGCGAACTGCGAGGAGCCATCCAGCGCCGTGGCCCATGTCCTAAGCCTGTCAAACCGCTATGCAGCCCTCTCCGCTGACATCCCAGCCCCCTCAGCAGAACCCCTGGACTCTGCAGCGTACTCTGCCGTTCGTGGATCTAAGTCCACTGCGAGAAAAACGCTCCTAAAGGAAGCCGTCCTCAGACGAAAGAGTGGTCATTCCCCTTCTCTGACCCCAGTGCATCACCACCGCTTACCTTCACCGGGTCAGCAGCAGCGACCCGAGCCTGCTCCTCATGCCGCTCCAGCGTCCCCGAGCACACAGCGTGGGTTGCCCGGAGCTGAGAATCAACACCCCCGCTCCCCTCCATGTGTTCAGCAGCGCCCTGGTTCGGACTCATCCCTGGATGAGCCCGCTGGTTCCGGCCATGGACACCGAGCGCCTTCTCCGCGGCTACGTCCACTCTTCGCCCCGACTACTTTGATTGTTGGAGATTCCATCGTGAGACACGTCCGCTTTTTTAACGCGGTCACTCAGTGTTTTCCCGGAGCTACTGTACCAGACCTGCTCATCCGTCTCCCTCCTCTGCTTCAGTCCCTGCCTGATACCATTTCAAAGGTAATCGTGCATGTGGGGATCAACGACATGAAGCTGCAGCAGTCCGAGGTCACAAAGAAGCATTTTATGGATCTATTCCGTCTTCTCCAGTCCTCTGGGTTGTGTGTTTTTATCTCTGGTCCAGTCCCGACTGTAAACCGGGGAGACTGCTTGTACAGTCGCGTTGTGGCGCTGAATATTTGGCTCCAGTCTACATGCAGCACTTTTAACTTTGTTTTTGTGAACAACTTTGGCCTGTTCTGGAAGCGTCACGTGGCCTATCGTCCAGACGGTCTGCACCCGAACAGATACGGTACCAGTTTATTGATGGACTTTTTACGCCATGTTGTTCAGTGCTCCCCGAGGGGGGCGTGACTGTTTACATCCGAGGCCTCTCGGCCCCCACTACCACCTTCCTCCTCCACTCCAGCACCGGGTGAGTACTGTGGTGCAAACACTGACCCCTGTCCGTCTGGCAGTGTAATACCAGTCCTGCCATTGAACGGTGCTTACTCAGCCATGCATCTGGAACTTAACAAAGTAAAACAGAGTTCACTTTTTAAACCAATAGAGACTGTGTGTGTTCCTCGCACCGGCTCAGAAATGTGTTTTAATTTGAATAAACACAAATATAACAGAAGGACAGCAGTTAGACGGTCCAACTCAGGAAATCTAATTCCAATTCTTTGTAGTCAATCAACTAAACCCACTGACACTGACATTATTTTTAACCTTGCTCTGCTTAATGTCAGATCACTATGCAATAAATCCTTTTTAATTAATAATTGTATCTGTTCTTATGATCTTGACTTTATGTTTATGACTGAAACTTGGCTTGACCATAATACAGAAAATGCAGTTTTAATAGAAACAACACCACCAAATTTCAAATTTGAATCAGAAATTCGAGAAAAAAAAAGAGGAGGAGGCACAGCAGCAGTTTTTAAAGATTGTATTGTCTCCCATAGAGTACCTCTTGGGAAATTTTCCTCATTTGAGTATGTCTCTTTTAAAATAGAACAAAAACAATCTTCTATTCTTATTATTGTTGTGTACAAGCCGCCACAGTCATGTCATAGTTTCACTGATCATTTCACCGAGTTGCTTTCAGTTGTGTGCACAGACTTTGATAGTTTAGTCGTCATAGGTGATTTTAATATACATGTAGATAACGTTAATGATAGATACGCGAAAGAGCTGAGCTCTGTGCTGGAAACCTTTGGTCTCACTCAGCATGTGAGTGGCCCCACCCATAGCAGAGGACACACTCTCGATCTGCTAATTACTAAAGGGGTTAATATCTCAAATGTAAATGTGGCCAATGTTGCTCTGTCAGATCATTTCTGTGTATTTTTTGATATGTGTCTCAATAGTAAAGCACGAGCTGAATCCTCAATTGTTAGAAGAAGAAGACACATAAACAAAAATACAGGTGAACTTTTCATGGGGATGATAAACTTTGATAACACGTTGTGTTCTACGGTGGATGAATTACTTAACTCTGTCACCTCTAGTGTTTTGGATGTTCTGGACACGATTGCTCCTGTAAAGGTCAAAATTGTTACAAATAAGCAAAAGGCGCCATGGACAAAAGCAGACTCTGTCAGGGCACAGAAGAGAGAGTGCCGGAGAGCCGAGCGGAAGTGGCGAAAGTCAAATCTCCAAGTTGACCATGAGATCTTCAAAGATGCATTGTGCAAGTTCAACAGTGTGCTACGTAGAACGAGGGAAACTTATTTTTCCGAAACAATCGAAGGTTGTAGTGGCAATCTACGCGTTCTGTTCTCAACGGTAAATAAATTGACAAATCCCCCTGTTAAGATGCCATCAGAGCTTACCTCCAAAACCAAATGTAATGAGTTTGCAGAGTTTTTTAATGACAAAGTCCAAGGCATCAAAAATGCCATCACCTCCACAGTAGAAATTACAATCCAACAGCCAGTGAAGCTTTTTGGGCTGACACACTTTACACCAGTACAAAATGAAACTGTCCAAATGATAATTACAAGTCTGAGTTCTTCTACATGTAGCCTGGATGTATTACCTCCTAGATTTCTTAAATCTGTTCTGAGCAGTCTTTTACCTTCACTCACGCATATAGTAAATATGTCTCTTGAATCTGGAACATTCCCAATGGCCCTGAAAACGGCAGTCATCAGACCCCTCCTAAAAAAGAGGAGTCTGGATGCCTTGGCACTTAAAAGTTATCGGCCCATTTCAAATCTGCCTTTCATGGGTAAAATTCTAGAAAAAGTTGTCTATCAACAACTTACAGAATTTTTAATAATCAATCACTCTTTTGATATGTTCCAGTCTGGTTTTAGACCCCACCACAGCACAGAGACCGCTCTAGTGAAGGTAACAAATGACATCAGACTTAACACTGACGCAGGAAAAGTCTCAGTTCTTATCCTGTTAGATTTGAGTGCTGCTTTCGACACTGTCGATCATGGTATCCTCATTCAGAGACTTGAGGACTGGGTTGGTGTTTCTGGAACAGCCCTAAGCTGGTTTATATCCTACCTACAGGACAGAAAGTATTTTGTGGAGATCGGAAACTGTGTCTCAGACCATCTGGCCCTGACCTGCGGAGTGCCACAGGGCTCAATCCTGGGGCCTCTCCTGTTTAATA